TTCAAAAACTTGAGATTCAAGAGAGGTTCTTTCAGTAATCTTACCTCGACTCCTTCTTTCGACGTTGAAAACTTCTTTAAATCTTTCCTTGGTTCAAGATCCGTTTGATTTGGGACAAAAATGAGAGAGAGAGAGAGATACACGGGAGAGAGAGAGAGAGAGTGATGCACGGGAAGGAAAAGGAAAGAAAGAAAAGAAAAGAAAAGGAAAAGAAAAGGAAAGGAAAAAGAAAAGAAAAAGACATGTGTACAATATTTTAAAAGAGCAGTCCAGAAATGCGCCCATACACACTTCTGGGTTTAAATAAATTGCTGAGAATAATTTAACTACCTTGGAACTATTTAAACTCACTCGTGTCAGAAACATCTATTAATTTATACTCAATTAATAATCCAGGTTAGGCACACTAATAATCTCAATTACCTTAATTAATCTTAATTAATTCTTCAGGGTGTTACATTATTTTTAGTTATATCCTGTGGCTGAAAAGTAATATGGTAGATTATTTAAGATAATCTACAAGATTATTTTTCTTTCTTCAAATAAATAACTTAACATTAGAAAATTTTCTTACACAAGTAAGCACATTCCAAAAATAATCATAAAATAGGTAGTTGACCAATGTTGATACCTAATTTTGTACTAGGTCCATTTAAGGGTCTATGTCCAATCTTCGTGTCTCATGACGTAATTGAGCATGCTTCATGTACTCAAGTCACATTTGGAAAACTCACGTGGGTCGTGGTTTATGTGATCAAAGGCCTGTTTATTATTTAATTCAATATTAATTTAAATCCCATTTAGGCAGTTTTCAAAGTAATTGGTTAAATATAAATGGGTGATGGAGAATTCCCAAAGAGCGTTCCTCCTATCTTCTTGGAAGCAAAAAAAAACTCAAAGTCCATGCCTTAGAATTTTTCTTACTAGCCAAGGTTTGAAACTCGCCGTTTTGACTCCAATGAAGGCTATATTTGAGTCAGATACTCCTAAAGAAGGTTCTTTCCATGTTAGGCATATCTCCAAGACCTCATTCATTTCTGCTAGACATGCCTAACAAAGGTCCCTCAATGACAAGCATGTCTCTTGGAGATCTTTTTTGAGATCATATGCACCTAACTGGCGTCCCTCCCTCTGATTTTCTTAATAACGAGGTCTACCTCTCAAAGCAATCCGGTGTCAAAGCCAACATGATGGCTACTTAGCTATTCTCATACAACCAATCTCTAAAAAGGTCTATCACTCGATTAGACTTCTAAAAGTGGAAGTCAACAGAGCACAAAGTTTAGTCAAACACTCACGAGGATTTCAGACCTGGCGAAGTTCTACGTTGTCCTGAAACCCATAACTTTTCCTCGAAGTCTTTCGATTTCGAACCATCTCTTTGTCAACTCGAAAAGGCGTCTGATGGCTTTGCTCCAACGGGATTGCGTGCGCAGGCCTTCGTCAGAGCTACATCGATCTTCCCTTGATTTAGCCATTATGAACTTTCCATCCAATTTATGGCAAATCTCTTCATCAACGTCTGAAAGATGGCAGATATCTCACCATCTTCAACTATAAATATCTCTTATCTCCCTCATTTCAGCTAACTTTGATAGGCCATCAACTAACAATCTTTTCTGACAATTTTCTCTCCTTTTTGTCTCCGCTTTGAGCACTTTTCTTTAATTCTTTTACGCTAAAGACTTGAAGTTCTTAAGGGGCTGCCTAGTTTTTTAAGTGTTGAAAGCCGTATAAACTCCTCTAGAACTCCCTTAAATCTTTTTTCTATCAATCATCCAAGAGTGTTTTCTTCATACTTCTTTCGGAAACACATGCCCTCATCTACGGAGTCACTTTCGGTCACCATAGAAGCAATGCTTCGAGTCTCATTCTTACTCTTGAAGCAGCTTGTGCATGCCTTCAGAGTTTCACTCCATCATGCCTTATTCATCCTCACTCACGAGTCACACTCTCGCTCTCAAAATAGCTTGTGTTTGTCTTCGGAGCACCTCTCTATCAAGCCTTATCCAACAAGGATGAGTGACACACTTGCTCTCAGAGCAGCCTATGTTTGTCTCTAGAGCACTGCTCCATTAAGGTCCTGATCAACCTCTAACATTTTTGAGTTTTCAAAGCCATTTTGGAGATTGGGAAATGAAGTAGGCCTTAAGAACCGTTTCCTTAAGTTCTCTTTAGGCCTAACCATCCCCACATTTTCATTAAAGGTTCTACCATTATCATCTACTTTGAGAACTGTTAAGTACTTCAGCCACGTCAAATCCTATTTCGATGAGTTGTATACTTACGCGTGTAACCCTCGGTACCAAACCCTGACAACTAAAAAATTACATGAGAAAAGCTCCACGTGGTGGACAAAAGAACGTTTGAGGAAGCTGCTAGAGCTTGAAAAGGATTTATATTAACATTGTTCCCGTGGAAAACAAAATCCAAGCAATCTTGATTAAAAAGATATTAAATCACAAGTAATAATCAGGACTCGTATTCCAATAAAAAATACCAAATGAACATTGAAACGGAAATGCGAAGATAAATTTTTTTTTTTTTGAAACCTATTAACTTCCTCAAAACTCATTAAGCAAATCATAATATATCTCAGATTCTCAGTGAATTGGGAAAGGAGAACACCATTAAGGAAGTCATAGAATTGAAATTTCTTGACCGATTTTCGAAAAAGCGAGGTGAGATCTAAGGTGACGCGACTTCGATATTCTCTGCACCTGAGAATCTGTAGCTCCATGCTAAGCCTGGCCGAAACCGCCAGTGTTACCTCGCACAACTCTAGTGATATGCAGATCTGAGTGTGTGTGTGTGTGTTTGTTGGGGATAAGGCAGAGAGAGAAATGTGAATTTACCAGTTAGGGTAGTGGTGAAAGTGTGATAAAGAAGTCAAAGGGGTGGAATATAAGCAAATGGGTAAAATATCATAACAATACACCCCCAAAGCTAACTTCAACCATTTTCTTTGAATAAAATCATCACAACCTATTGGTTTTCTTCGGCTGTTGTTGTTGTTCAACGTGCATGGACAAATTTTGGAGTTTTTTCTTTTGTTTATTTTATTTTTATCATTGTCTTTTAGCTGGCATTGTTTATTAATTCATTTTTTTTTGTCTTATGCTTCTACTAGAAATTAATATAATAGTAATAGAACAGATTGGCAAACGTCGACCTTTTATAAACTCAATTATCACGTCAAAGATTTGCATTGCTGAAAATCTGCTCAGAAAAAATTTAGTTGGAGTGTGGTTAACATGTGAGTGTGACCAAAAAAAATATATATATATATAGTAAATATATTTGAAAATAAAAAATTTATATATATATGGTAAATATATTTGAAAATAAAAAATTTTCATAGTATATCAAACTAGGTGATCGTGATGAAATCTCCATTTCTAGTATACAAGTTAAGATATCTGCTGCATTAATCAAATAAATTAATGTAGTATTATTTGGGTATGTGTGCATATATATTAATTATATTTTCTGGTATATATGATGGTGAAATGATTTGACCAATATTTAGGGCATGTTTAGTTCACTGATTCAAGTTTTTAATTCGAATTGAGATGTGACTTTATATGAGAGTTTTTTACTGTAGTAAAAAAATTAGATGTGACTGTTTCTGAGAGCTTTTACTGTAGTAAAATTCAAATTCTAAACTCAAATTGGTGAAATGAACGAGGCCTTAGACTCTTCTCGTACTAATGATGAAATGTGAATTTATCAGTTAGGTTTTAGATCTAAATAAATATTTTATTTAAAGATGTTTTAGTATTTAAAATAGTGGTGAAAGTGTGATAAAGAAGTCAAAAGGGGTGGAATATAAGCACATGGATGAAATATCATAACAATACACCCCCAAAGCTAACTTCAACCCTATTCTTTGAATAAAGTCATATACAACTTATTGGTTTTCTTCGGCTGTCGTTGTTGTTCAACGTGCATGGACAAATTTTGGAGTTTTTTCTTTTGTTTATTTTATTTTTATCATTGTCTTTTTTCTAGCATTGTTTATTAATTCATTTTTTTTTTGTCTTATGCTTCTACTAGAAAATAATATAATAGTAATAGAATAGATTGGCAAACGTCGATCTTTTATAAACTCAGGCCTCATTCACTTCACGAATTTAAGTTTTCAATTCAAGTTGATATGTGACATTTTTTTAGAGCTTTTAATTGTAACAAAAAAAGTTAGATATGACATTTTTTGAGAGCTTTTAACTGTAAAAACTTAAAATTGAAACTCGAATCGGTGAAATAAACAAGACCTCAATTAAAAGTTTAATTTTATTAGTTTCAAAACTTAATAATCGACAAAAAATAAATATTAATATTTGAAATAAAATTATATATTTGAGCAAAAATTAGAATATAAAATTAAATATGCTTTTATTAAAAAAAAATCAAATATGATACATCTACAATTTTTTAATGATAAATGAAACATTATCATTAGCATGCATTTGCATGAGAGATTGATTAAGAAACAGAAATAAGAAAGGGCATATATATATATATGGGTGTATTTGAAATTAGTTTTAAAATTATTTTATTTTTAATAAAAAGTAAAAATAAGATTGTTTGAAAATCATTTTAAGATTGGTTCTGAAATTGCGTTTGGTTGGTTTTTTAAGAGATTATTTTGAGTATAATAAAAAAGTGAAATCGTATTTATTAATTAATATATTATAATACTGTTGATAAGTACTAAAAATAAAAATAGAAAAGTGAACAATTTCAAGTGTTTTCTAATTCCTTCACAAAAATAATTCTCATTGTTTTCGTTTTCAAAACATTTTTTAAACTAGCGTCGTTCCGTTTTCATTTTTATTTTTTACTTATCAAAATGGTTTTAAAAAACGGTTCTAGCACATGGCTTTGACAAAACAAAAGGCTAAGTCCTAAAAGATGCTGGTGGCTAATGTTGATGAGGAGCAATTAAATAATGATAACCTAAACCTTACGTTTGCACTTAGAACATTACTTCCCAAACGTGAAAAAACCAAGTACTAATATACCATCTCCAAACACAGTTATCTCTCTCTCGTATATAAATGTTATTATCGTTTCCCATTTCCTTTCAAGTTTTAACAACAAATCTTCCTAGAAAATCACCATGGCTCAACCACGAACACAAACACAAGAGAAATCGCCACACCTGGCGATTCTTCCTTCTCCAGGGATGGGCCACCTGATCCCTCTGGTGGAGTTGGCGAAGCGGCTAGTCGGATACCACCGCTTCACCCTCACGATCGTGGTCCCCACCGACGGACCTCCTGCGAAGGCCATGAAATCCGTTCTCGAAGGCCTGCCGGCGGCCATAGACCATGTTTTCCTCCCTCCAGTCAACTTCGACGAACTTCCAGAAGATTCCAAGCCCGAGACGCTCATCGCCGTCACCATCTTCCGTTCCCTCCCGGCCCTTCGCCACGCGCTCACTTCCCTCGCCTCACGCGTCAGCCTCGTCGGCCTCGTCGTCGACATCTTCGGTACGGACGCCTTCGACGTGGCGAGGGAGTTACACATATCGTCCTTCGTTTTCATCGCCTCCTCCGCCATGTCATTGTCCCTGACCTTATACTTGCCTGAGCTGCACGAAACGACGTCGTGCGAGTACTGGGAACTAACGGATCCCGTCAAGATCCCGGGTTGTCTCCCTATTTCGGGTAAGGAATTGCTCGACCCGGTTCAGGACAGGAGCAACGATGCCTACGAGTGGACCCTACATAATGCCAAACGGTGTCGTTTGGCCGATGGAATTATGATCAACTCGTTCAACGAGCTGGAGCCAACGGCAATTTGGTCTTTGCAGGAGAAGGGGGCCGGTAAGTTACGTGTCTACCCCGTGGGTCCACTTGTCAATGTGGAGCCGAGCACCAAGGTTGACGAGTCGAATTGTCTAACGTGGCTAGATGGCCAAGCACATGGCAGCGTCTTATTCGTCTCTTTCGGGAGCGGTGGGGCCCTTTCTTCCCACGAGATGTATGAGCTGGCGTTGGGATTGGAGAAGAGTAGGCAGAGGTTCTTGTGGGCGGTGAGGAGGCCAAACGACAAGACCGCGAACGCCACGTACTCACGGGTTGACAATCAAAACGACTCGCCGTTTGATTTCTTACCTGATGGGTTTCTGGATCGGACCAGGGATCGAGGCCTGGTGTTGTATTCTTGGGTTCCACAGGCCCAGATTCTAAGCCACGGCTCAATCGGTGGGTTCTTAACCCACTGCGGTTGGAACTCCACTCTCGAGAGTGTGGTCAACGGCGTGCCTCTCATCGCTTGGCCTCTTTATGCTGAACAGAAAATGAACGCTTTCATGTTGACTGAAGACACAAAAGCGGCTTTGAGACCAAAGGCGAATGAAAACGACATCGTTGAGAGGGAGGAGATTGCGAGAGTGGTTAAGGCTCTTATTGATGGAGAAGAAGGGCAAAAGCTGAGGAACCGAATGAAGGACCTAAAAAAAGCGGCTTTAGAGGCTGTCAGTGAAGATGGGGCTTCTACTAAAGCACTTGCTGAAGTGGTTTATAAGTGGAAGAGCCTGATATGCAATTAGATTTACCGACTTAGATCACTTGCAGTCTAGTGTAATATTGCTTATTGCCCTTTTACAACTTTATCTTTTTTTTCTTGATGTTATAAATAATGATTTGAATTATAATTCGTGATTTATTATAGTATTTTTTATTATAAATAACACATATAAATCGGTAATGATTCTGAATCCGTAAATTAAATTTTATATTTCTACTACTTAAATTTAGTTGCCTCAAGGAGTATTTTAGGTCTATTTTTATAAATGTAGTAGACGTTTTGGGTATTAACGACGAAAATGGTATTTTAATAAAATATATGAGTGTTTTGGGTATTATATTTTATTTTAAAAATAAATTTTTAATATTTTATCAACAGTAGATACTAATAAAATAATGAAATAATATTCTTGAGAGAGTAACGAATGAACAGTTGGAAAGATTAGATATAGAATATATATTAGTTAGGTTGACATATGGGATAAAACAGAGTATTTTGTAAGAGAAATTACAAATTCTGATAAAACAATTCATCAAAACTAATTCTATTCTTTACAGAAAAACTAAAGAAAGAATAAAACTCAAATACAATTTTGTGTAAACTTTTTTTAGATTAACTTATTTAAATTAAGAACAGTAACCCTTTTTTTAAGGAAAAAAAAAACGAAAAGAGTAATTTTAATAAAAAGAGAAGGACAAAAAATGAATGAATACATAAATACATTGATCATAAATACTTGAATAATAAATCCATAAAAAAAAGATATCATTGATGAAGTGGTCACGCTTCAGAATCAATAATTCAGTTTATCTACTAACTGCATTTAACATAGTGTTTAGGCCTGCAAATTCAAAACAGTAATAGTAGAACAATCAAACACAAGATATTAGGAATGCAACTCACAATGAGAAATAACATGTCAAATTTATATATGATCCTAATGCAAAAGAGAAATAAAGGTAGTTACAAAGAATAAACCTAGGCTGTGCATAAACCCGAATAACCTGTAAACTCAACCCAACCCGAAAAAGTAACTTATAGTATTATTTTTTATTTTTCGGCCCACTAAATGTCTGCCCTAAAGTGTTTGGGGCGATTTGTGGGTTGAGCCTATAATAACCCGCATATCCCAACCTACAAACATGCATGATAAGGAGCCTATGAGTGTGGACTGTTAAGGATAGTTGTTGTTGCAGTGCTTGTTTTGGATGGATTTGAATTAAACTTCTAATTTATGTTTGCTTTATGTTTGATGTTGGATGGACTACTTTACTTCCTATTTGATTTTAAATTGAACTTTGAATTGCTATCCATTTGATGAAGGACTAATCAGTATCATTTCTATTTCATGATGAACTTTGAATATTGAAGTTATATTTGATTATCAATATTATTTCTATTTGATGATCAATATTATTTGATGATGAACTTTGAATGTTGGAGTTATTATTTCTATTTGATGATTTACTTTGAATGTTGAATTGAACTTTGATTCTTTGAATGATAAACCCGACCACCCAATTCAACTCACTCTGTCCCAACCCAACCCAAACATCATTGGATTGTGAAATTTTTCTAACATCATTGGGGCCAAATATGTGCAATCCGCATATTTCGGGGCAGGGCAAAAAAAAGCCCTGCCCCACACCAATTCAGCCCTGCCCCACACCAATTCAGCTCAGTTCCAACGGGTATGTAGTCTAAAAACGTGTTCGGTGAAAGGAATGTTTGTTTCTTGTATTCGTCCCTAATTCTGAATCATGATCCATAGTTCCCTACAATATTTTTTTCTCACAAAAAACATATATAAAATGAGAATAATTCTGAATCATAATTCTAAATATATGAACAAAACGTCCATTATAATTCAAACAGAATGACCCGTTTAACTTAACCTGAACGTTTGAAGTTTCCCGCTCCCCTTCAATTCAACTTTTTAAACTATTCCTCTGTAGTAAATCCACTCTACAATTCTAAATTTTTTTAACTGGGCCCACAAGTCTAATTTTGAACACTCTCTTGAGTAATGAGAATGACCTCTATTTGTGTAATGAATGACCGTTACCGATTTTGACTGTTACTAATGAGTGTTCCAAAATTTTAGTTGGCATTAGTAACAAAAATAAAAGAAAATTCCAAAAAAAGTTTAAAAAATTGCTACCCAGTTAAGAAAATGCCCATACAAAGTTTTTAGTTAGATAATTTTCTTCAATAAATTTTTAGGTGTTGTATTATTTTTTATCCACTATCTCATTGTTTTTATTTTTAAAAATTGCTACCCAATTAAAAAATGCCTACAAAAAAATTTTAATTATTATTTAAAAAAATTTTCTTTAAAAAAATTATTAATTATTATTTACTTTTTCTTTAATAAATTCTTACTTGTTGTATTATTTGTTATGTTACTTTTTTAGTTCAAACTACAGTTCTCGGGAGTCATTTAAATGCAAACTCAGATTACATTTCATGTTCGAATTAAAGCTTTAAATACATAAATGTCTGTTCAATCTATTGTTTTAATCACACGGTTAAAATTTTTCCATTTAAATTAATAAAATTCAAACTAACGAATTAACGGCCGCCAAATTTATTTGCTAACCATAAGAAGCAAATAAGAGACGAATGGATGACCAAAGTAACTGTGCCGGTAACACTCAACATTGACGCATTCAACCTCTTGTTGTCGTGTGCAAGATGTTTCCCCCTGTATGTTGTGCCTTAGAAATGGCCTTACACACCACACACACACTTGCATTAACATCATCCTATTACCGAAAAGGAAATTTTATTACTGTTAGATTCAACCGCCTCAAAGAAGAGAGAGAGTATTATGGTCAGAGTCCTAACATTGTCTGCTTTGTTAGGCTCCGACCTTGTATTTTCATCTGTAAGCCCTCAGTATTGATGTGGAGATAGGAATCGGGATGGTTTTTTTTTTTTTTTTTTTTTTTTTTTTTTTTTTTTGAAAGGCACATGTGCCGAATCTAAGACGAAATAAGGAGGGAGTATTGTCTATTTAACGTGGCCTTACCGGCGTAATTCTTTTCTGCCGGCAATGTCTTGTTGGGCAGCAGCGATGGGCAACATTGTGATTCACATGTTGTTGGTTCAACGACGACGATGGATGGCATGCATTATGTTTGTCCTATCATTTCTTACCCGTCTTTTGTTGTTGTTTTCTGCCTTGATTATCGTTTTCTTAATCTATAGGCTTTTACGATTGTTTGTAGTTGTTTTTCTTTTCTTGCTTTTATTGAGTTTCGTTTGAGTTTTGATTAACTTTGATTTTTACCTTAATTAATTTGTGTGTTCGTCTTATTTGTTCAGCGTTTTGGTGTGTTTTCTGTCCACTAAATTTATTTCTTTGCGTTTTTTTGTGTGGCCTCCACTCTAGGCATTGATTAAACGTATATTTCTATAGATTGGTTGAGAATTTGTTGAAAAGCTATATATGATCAATATGTTGTGTAACTTACTGTTTGTTATTGCTTTTCACAGAGGACATTGATACTTTCTTAGACCTCGTTCATTTTACCGATTCGATTTTTCAGTTTTAGGTTTCTACAGTAAAAAGCTCTCAGAAAATGTCACATCTAACTTTTTCTACTATAGTGAAAAGCTTTTAGAAAATATCACATCTCAACTCGAATTGAAAACTCAAATTCCGCAAAGTGAATGAGTTTACCTTTCATTTATTTTAATATATATTTCAATAAAAAAATAATATACAAGAAAACCAATAAAAGATTAGGTCTTTATAGGTATAGATTTGGATTATTATCACTGATACTCTTAGATTTTGGAGTCATTTTAGTTTACTTTTTAAATTTTAAAAATTCTCACTTTATCTCATGAACTTTGAATTGTTTCTACTTAATTCATTCTGTTACAATTTCTGTTACCTTCTGTTACAATTTCTAATAAAAACAGATATAAAAAAAGAGAATAACATAGTCACGTAGTCTTTCTGTTTTGATTTATGTTAAAAAAATAAGATAAAAACTACATGATCACACTTAATCTCATCTTTTTCCGTCAAATTTTAACAGAAATTATAACAAATAGAGTTAAGTGAGAACAATTTAAAATTTAAAAAATAAAATAAGAATTTTTAAAATTTAGAGACAAACTAGAGATTGTCTCTAAAATTGAGAGACACTAATAAAAATAATCCTATCAATTTAGCAAGCGTTCACTTCACTAACTCAAATTTTATAATTCGAGTTAAAAAACTAGATTTGAGTTTCAAAAGATTTGAGTGTAATTTGAAATTTTGAGTTTAGTGTTTAGGTGTTGACTAATTTAACTTCTGAAACTTGAATTTTGTTGTCACTTGCACAAATACCAAACTCCAATTAATTGATATAAATTCAATTAAGAAATATATTTATCATAAAAAACCCAAAAAAAAAAAAAATCTTCTTCTTCCTCTTGGCTTTACTTGCAGTTGCAGACCAAAAAATTAAACCCAAACCTTATTAGTTTTCACAGTCAAATATGTGACCCTGCAGCCCATCCTTACCCAATATCCCGCTGTCCATCCTCATCCCCACCCACAACCCCACTGCACCTTAGAACCTAGCCAAGCCGCCTCCCAATTCTGCCGCCTATTTCGCGAACCTAACCAATCGCTCCGCCCACTTCTTGAACCCAGCCAATCGTGTCGCCAACTGGCAAACCAAACGAAGTCGCTTCCCTATCGTGTCAGACCTCCAAACATTTACGTTATGAATCAAACCCAGGCATTCAGAGGCTTTCTTCCACAATGATGCTCTGTTTTTTTTTTCTAAATAAATGAGAGTTTTTCTTGCTCGTGTCAGCCAACGGCAAGAGGGGAGGGCTCCGCAACTGGGTGATGTGCTATGGCGGAGGCGGAGAAGTGCTTCCGCGGGGATGCTTCACGACGACGACTGAGTCAATGTGATTTCTTCAATTTGATTGGGTTTGGGTGTTGTGAACTGTGAATAAGAGCTGGATTTTTTCAGTTTAGGGTTCAAAGCGAAGAGAAGAGGAGTTTAGAGAAAAATGGTGGTTTAATTTGTTGGCATTTACTTTCTTTCAGTGAACGTGAACGGAGAAGAAGAAGATTAAGGTTGGAGATGGGAACAAGGGAAGAATGTGTTAATTAAATGAGGGGAGTCGCATAAGCTTTTTGCAGAGCAGGTATAAGCTTTCTCTAACGGGAAGAAATGTCAGAAAAGTAGGAATCTACACTGTAGAACATGACTCGAATAATGAGAGTTTGAGGGGACGGTGAAGTTTACCTATTCGAATTATTACTCGAATTTCAAACTCAAGTATGAGTAAACGAATGCATATTAAACGAAACAGAGTTCTACCTTGTTAATAACGAAGACAGCTTTTGCTTAGGTGTATCGAGCCCAAAAGATAAAAAAGAAACGGAAAAGAAAAGAAGACGGTCAAAATTGAATCCTGAAAACTTCGACGAAGCGCAACGACCCATTTGGAAATTACAATGTTGCAGTCACAGGCATTCTCAGCTGCCCAAACCGCACGCGCTCCAATACCCGCCTCACGGATCCATCCCACGTGGCTCAATCTCCACCGTCCATCAACAGCAGCTTTCACTTTCCCGGCGACTCGGCCTGTCGTACCGACAAATCTCCGGCTATTCCCAAATGTTAGGAGATGCTATGCATCGCTATCGCCATTGGACATCAAAGCTGGCAAAGGGTACCTACAACTATAACTGGGTTCTTCTTCTTCTTTTCCAATGAAAATTTTTTTTTTTCCTCGGTTCTGATACGTTTTCTTAATGTCAGGGACAGAAATTGGTACTTCAATTTTGGTACGGGTTATGGAATTATGGGATTTGGATTTCTTTTTTAAAAAAGTTAAAAATTTTGTTTTTGTATCTACTTCCAAGATTTGTGTTGTTAATTAGAAGAAAGCCCCTTTAACTCACTCACTTGTATAGTACAAATTTATGCAGATGTACAAACTTTAGTTCTTGTTTGTGCCTTCTTTCATTATCTCGGTTCTTAAATTGTTTATGCAGTGTTACCAATTTATGTGATTTATTCATATGCTCTTGAATTTAGTGCGGAAGATATCTGAAATTAGGAGTGAAAATTCTCTTGCTGGGTCTTGCAGAATGAGTGAGTTTCATGAACTTGAGCTTAAAGTACGCGATTACGAGCTTGATCAATATGGTGTGGTGAACAATGCTGTTTATGCAAGTTATTGCCAACACGGTAAGACAAATTTTTGTTGGTTTATTTATGTTGGTTGTTGAATTAGAGGAATCAACTTACTTAAAATTTGTTCATTTGTGTGCCGTGTTTTATGCTTTCCCATTTCTTGATTGCACAATTAACCTCTTTCAATGCTCTAAAGGGATATGTCTAGTTGTTGCATCCTCGACACTCTCATACTTAATTACATGTTGTCTTGGGTGTTTCTTGGTTGACAGATTGTAGTGTTAAACAAATTCTTTCCCTTGAATGTTTGCTTAATAAGCGCCCCAGCTTCATTGTCTTTTGATTTTGTTGATCCTTGATAGAGGTTCTCTGTATACACTCTATAAATTACATATTTCATTTTCACTAATTACGTACGCGCTTTCGTAAGGAGGGATGCAGAGAGATTTGGAGCAGCCTTCGGGCTTACCCGTTGAGGAAAAAGTATGTGCTTACTTTGCCTTAGCTTTTTGGGGTACGAATAGAATCTAGGGACTAAGATGTTATGTAAAAACTGCTTAACCTATCACCTAGACTTCAATGATTGTTGAGTTACTCAAAAGATCCTTGGTAACTGATACTGATAAGCGCTTATGCTAGATAAGCACTTATACTAGTTCTTATGTTTCTTTCTTCTCACTTCCTTATGTTTTGTTGCAATTAGTGTGTCTCGGATTGCAAATAAATAGAAGATATTTTCAGTTGAAGGTGTACGGCAAGTTGACTTCAAGACTGCAGCTGGGAGACTTTGGTGACGTGGCACTAACAGCTGTCATTTTACAAGGCTGGCTCTAGTTATATATATCTAGTTTTGTTAAGCAGTTTACGGAAGAAAAAAAAGAAAACCATTTTCTGTTTTTCCGTAACAGACTATTGAGAGAGAAATTTAGAGGGAATTTCTAGGTTTGTAATTGGGGCTCTTGGGCGTTTGTTTCCTGGGAATTTGGTGAGAAACTAAGACGCTAAATCTGTAAGAGTTCCTTTGATCTTTGTATAGTCTGGATTCTGGTGTACACTCTTTGACGAACTAGTGGATTGAGCTAGGGAGATATCCCTGCCTTGGATTAGGATCCGCAAGGATCTGAACCAAGTAAATCACTTGTCTCTTTCTTTGTTTGTCTTTCGTTTTCTGTTTTTGCTATTTTGTTCGGTTCTCTGCTTTTGTGTTTCGTGTTCTTGTTGCAGATTCTAGGATTTCTTCCACAAATTGGTATCAGAGCTTCCCAAGAAACGATCTCTTAAAGGCATCTCTTACTGATTGGGGGTTCTTGCAATTTGAAGTTCAAGATTCAAGATTTGCTGGTCACGAATTTTCTCTGAAGATGTCGATGATGAAATTCGACATTGAGAAGTTCGATGGGAAGAACGACTTCAATCTATGGAGGGAGAAGATGATGGCTCATCTGGGTAATCTCGGACTAGATGAAGCCCTAAAAGGAGAATAAAAAATGTCAAACGCGATTGATGACAAAGAAAAGGCCAACATTCTGAAGAAGGCTCGTAATGCAATTATTCTGAGCCTAAGTGATTAGATTTTAAGAAAGGTTGTTAAAGAAAAATCCGCAGCAGAGATGTGGTCGAAGTTAGAACATTTCTACATGACCAAGGCATTACCAAACAGAATCTACTTGAAACAGCGCTTCTATGGTTTCAAGATGGATGAGAGCAAGTCGATTGATGATAATGTCGACGAGTTCACCAAGTTGGTGGCAGATCTTGAAAATATTGAGGTTTCCATTGACGAGGAAGATCAAGCTATCTTCTTCCTAAATTCCCTTCTGAAGCAGTATGATCAATTGCGAGACACTTTGAAGTATGGCAAAGAAATCCTGTCTCTGGATGAAGTTATGGGAGCAGCATACTCTAAGGAACTGGATCTCAAAGCAAATGGGAAACAGTCAAGATCAAATGGAGAAGGCCTTAACGTTCGCGGAAGACCAGAAAAGAGGGATAACCAACACAAGGGCAAGGGTAAATCAAGGTCAAAATCGAGGTCTAAGAAAACATGTTGGACCTGTCATAAAGAAGGCCACATTAGAAGATTTTGCCCTCAGAGAAAGAAGGATCAGAAGCGTGATGAGTCCTCAAATGGAGATGCTGCAACCGCCTCTGATGATATTGACACTACAGACGTCCTTACAATGTCTGACAATGATCCAACTGATGAATGGATCATCGATTCTGGGTGTACTTTTCACATGACACCTAGAAAAGAATGGTTTTGTGATTTCAAGAATACCTCTGGAGGCAAGGTATTAATGGGAAATAATATTTCCTGTGAAGTGAAGGGTATTGGGTCTGTTAAGATCAAAATGTGGGATGGCTCTGTAAAAACCTTAACTGGTGTCAGATACATCCCTGATCTCAAGAGAAATTTGGTGTCACTAGGAATGTTAGACACCAGCGGCTGTTCATATAAATCACAAGGTGGGATCTTGAAGGTGTTCAAAGGGATCATGGTGGTAATGAAAGGAATATTGCAGCAGGGCTTGTATGTGCTTCAAGGGAAAACTATTCTAGGTGAATCTGATGTGTCAGTTCATGCTGGTGATCAAACAGAACTACGGCACCGCAGATTGGGACACATGAGCAGAGGACTTCAAGAACTGGCCAAGCAAGGATTGCTGGACAAGAAGAAAATCAGCAACCTGAATTTCTGTGAAATTTGCGTCCTGGGAAAGGCTCATAGATTGAAGTTTTCAACAGCCATGCATAGAACAAAGGGGACTTTGGACTACATACATTCAGACCTGTGGGGCTCTCCTACGGTACCATTTTCTCTTTCAAAATGTTAATATTTTATTTCATTCATTGATGACTATTCTAGGAGGGTTTGGATATATTTTCTAAAAATTAAAGATGATGCTTTTGCTAAGTTTTTAGAATGGAAATCTTTGATAGAAAACCAAACCGGTAAGAAAATTAAGAGACTTCGAACATATAATAGCCTAGAATTTTGTAGTAATGAATTCAATAAGTATTGTGCTGAAAATGACATTGCTAGACAACACACATGCACAAATACGCCACAACAAAATGGTCTTGCTGAGTGCATGAATAGAACCATAATGAATAAGATAAGATGCATGTTAAATGAATCAGGTTTACCCAAAAGATTCTGGGCAGAGGCTGCTGCCACTGCATGTTACTTGATAAATAGGTCCCCATCATCAGCAATAGATTTTAAGGTCCCTGAAGAAATATGGTCTAAGTCCCCACCAAAGTATGATCACCTAAGGCCATTTGGTAGCATTGCATATGTGCATGTTAGTCAAGGTAAACTTAATCCCAGGGCTAAGAAAGGTGTTTCAGGGCAGAAAAGAATATTCTTTATTGATTGATTTCTATACAAGAAGTTACAATATTTATAGGAGGAAACCCTATGGGAATCAGGAAATAAAATCCCACGGAATGAGGGATTAGATGAGATCCTTATCTCAGGAGATCTCCTTTAAAAACTGAAAGTATAAACTACTTTCCTATTTTATCTCTATGCCCCTATTAACCGGATTATTCCATATCCGGTTTACTTTTCTATTTTCGACACTCCTCCTCAAGTTGGTGCATAGATATCTATCATGCCTAACTTGCTAATGAGAAACTCGAAGTTTGATCTAAATAATCCTTTAGTAAGAACAATAGTTTTATACTTTTAACACTCCCCCTCATGTGTGGGCTGGACAATGGGCAATCGTGTGGGTAAATTAATTAGAAAGCCCAACACGTGAATATTTAAGCCCGAGATATATTAAAGACCCAACACATGATGATAATTTAAATGAGGATAAAGAGTGCAATTACAGGGGTTCGAACTCAGGACTTCCTGCTCTGATATCATGTTGTACTGGATTGTGGGCGATGCTGATTGATGCTTTGTTGTCACAGAACAATTTCATAGGCATGGTCATAGGTCTTCTCAGTTCTTCCAAAATTCGTTTAAGCCATATCATCTCATATATCCCTTGTGCCATTGATCTGTATTCTGTTTCTGCACTGCTTCGAGCCACTACGTTTTGTTTCTTGCTCCTCCAAGTAACTAGGTTTCCCCATACAAATGTGCAATAACTAGATGTAGACCTTCTATCTGAAGTATATCCTGCCCAATCTGCATCTGTGTAAGCTTCAATACCTCGTCGTTCATTCTTCTCAAAGAACAGTCCTTTTCTCGGTGAACTCTTCAAGTACCTCAAGATGCGGTAGTCTGCTTCTAGATGTTCTTCATGGGGAGAATGCATGAACTGGCTCACTAGGCTGATAGCGAATGCTATATCTGGTCGAGTATGTGATAAGTAGATTAGCTTCTTGACTAGTCTTTGGTACTGAGCTGTATCCACCTGTCTTCCTTCTTTGTTTCCAAACTTCTGATTTGGATCAACTGGTGTTTCTGTAGGGCGACATCCACTCATCCCGGTCTCTTTAAGAAGATCAATCACATACTTCCTTTGTGAAATTGCAACTCCCTTTCTTGATCTGGCTACTTCCATACCAAGGAAGTATTTTAGTGAGTCTAGGTCCTTAATCTCAAATTCAGAAGCCAGACTCTGCTTTAGACGATTCATCTCAACAGTATCATCCCCAGTAAGGATGATGTCATCCACATACACTATAAGAACATCTCCTTTCTCATTGTAGTGTCTTGTGAACATCGTGTGATCTGCTTGTCCCTGGTCATATCCCTGTCTTCTCACAAATTGAGTGAATCTCTCGAACCAAGCTCTTGGAGATTGTTTTAGACCATACATAGACTTTTTTAGCTTGCATACCCGGGTTCCATATTTTCCTTCAAATCCTGGAGGTGGATCCATGTAGACTTCTTCATCCAAATCGCCATTAAGGACTGCATTCTTCACATCTAGTTGCTGTAGTGGCCAATCTAAGTTGGCTGCAAGTGATAGGAGTACCCTGATAGTATTGAGCTTTGCCACTGGTGCAAAAGTTTCAAGGTACAATCCCATATGTTTGAGTGAATCCTTTTGCTACTAGGCGAGCCTTGTATCTCTCCAGAGATCCATCTG